CTCCTTTCTGAAACTATTGACTAATTGATACAGTGTTGTGTCTTTTTTTATTTTTATTTTTATTTACATAAATTCAGAGTATGTCAAAAAAGGCTAGCGGCTCCGGAACTAAAAAGGGGAAGGGAGTAGATGTGGGGAAAGAGATAAAAATGTTCATTGATGTGGAATACACTCTTACAGAAAATGTCTTATAATGCTTTTCTGAACAGAACAAGCGTAGCCGTCGGAAAGATAAACGAGATCAACACTCTTCCGGCGGCTAGTGAAAACAAGTATGTGAGAATCAGGTTTATGGATGCAGACGAGGTAAGCTGCCACGTTTTCTTGAGAGCATCGGACTTATACTTTATTGGGTATGAGAATAAAGATTACACATTGGTAGCACTTCAACCCGATAACACGAAGACACAGTAAGTCGATGCTCAATTTTCCACCCTTCCACCACCTCCCGTACCTCCTGCACAGCCTGCACCTCCTGTTCAAGTCGAAGAATTGAGCTTCGGAGGTACAACGGACTTAGGACAGTTTCCAAAATCCATGGAAGGAATGCTACACAGGAAGTCGATGCTCAATTCCTTCCATGGATTTTGGAAACTGTCACAAGTCCGTTGTAGTTACCTCCGAAGCTCAATTCTTCGACTTGAACAGGAGGTGCGGGCTGTGCAGGAGGTACGGGAGGTGGTGGAAGGGTGGAAAATTGAGCATCGACTTCCTGTGTCTTCGTGTTATCGGGTTGGAGTGCTACCAATTTTTGATCTTTATTCTCATACCCAATAAAATATAAGTCCGATGCTCTCAAGAAAACATGACAGCTTACCTCGTCCGCATCCATAAACCTCAAATGTATTCTCACATACTTGTTTTCACTAGCTGCCGGAAGAGTGTCGATTTCGTTTATCTTTTTGGCGGCTACGCTTGTTCTCAGTCTGTTCAGAAAAGTTTTATAAGACGCGACATCTTCTGTAACAGTGTATTCCACCTCAATGAACTCTTTTATCTCTTTCCTCACATCTACTCCCTTCCCTTTTTTAGTTCCGGAACCGCTAGCCTTTTTTGACATACTCTGAATTTAAGTAAATAAATAAAAAAAAAGACACCACTGTATCAATAGTTTCAGAAAGAAGAGCTGGTTTTCTTAGTAAAAATACTTCAATTAGTCAATAGTTTCAGAAAGAATAGCTGGTTTTGGTAGTAAAAATACTTCAAAAATGAAGCACCACAATAAACTTATATATATATATATATATATTTATATNAAAAAAAAAAAAAAAACACTACATGCGACCCATCATAAGTTTCATTAACAGTAGTCATAAGTTCATAACCTTTATGCATAGCAACAGAATAATTCAAATTATTTACTATACCAAGAGGACATTGGCATCCACAATGGTTCTCTATAAGTGTTAGAAGTTCCTATATTCATCTAGAGATTCTATATATATATTATTTCGTAAAATAATTTACATTCATAGTGTTTAGAAGTGTTTAGAAGTAAGTCCTCAACCCATACTTTTTGCGGAGCTTCTCATCATCCCGACACCTTGTGAATATTTCCGTCAGCTCCGTTACAGCTACACAGTATGCGATTATTATGCTCAGGCCCCCCCTGCCAAAAGAGAGAAAAAGGAAGAAAAAAAAATCTCAATTTGAATGGCAATGCTTGTGAAACAATTCTAACAGCCATAACATTTGAACGAAAAGCTCCAAATTGCGAAAATAATGTAAAAGACAACCTTACAATAAGCTCACTATTTCCACCTGCGGTTGCACAAGCAAAGTGGGTATCACTTCTAATAAGAGCCATTCGCTCTTGAGTAGTCTCTGTACCTACCAGATCTTGAGTTCTTCTCGCATGATACCCAATCATGCCGTGGCACCACGGGTCCTGTAAAAAAAAGAAATGATTTTGTTTTTAACGAGATTTGTTATCATGCATGTACTTTTCTAGTAATTGGTGAACCACTGAACCAAAAAGGAACAC